GGACTCAGCCGACACCTCATTGCCGAGAGCTCTCAACTGATTACACGAGAGAACGTTTGACAGGCAGGTCCTACTTATCATAGCCTTCGCTCTGCATCGTATTTCCTATTTTCTTGCGTACTTCGTCTTTCGTCTTTCATGTTGCAACCACCACACTCTCTTACTTGTTCTCATTATGAAGTTCGCACTGCAGGCTTTGGCTATTGCCGCCGCCCTGGCTACGCCAGGACTGGCGGTTTTGAAGCCCGGATCAGCTACGAAGATCACACCTCCTCCGAGCCATGGCTTCATCATTGAGTTGGAGCCAACCGCTGCCTCTATCAATGGTCGAGCTGCCGATGGCATTGAAGTTGATGCTCATTCTGCGTTCCATCGCCGAGCTGAAGACGTGCTGGACTATTCGGTCCGACATGAATTCAAAAACCCGGAATATTTCTATGGACTCTCGATCAACGCCAAAAACGATACGGATATCACCACTCTTTTGGCTTTGCCGCAAGTCAAACAGGTCTGGCCCAACCGATACTATGAACGCCCCGCCCCTGTGATTCACGGAAGAAGCCCCAAAGCTCCCAATGAATACGTTCCGGTCGGAGTTCAGCCTATTCATTTGCGAGACGTTGCGCAAGTTGCAACAGTGAACGGGACCAGCGATGTTCTCTCTAGCCTGAAGATGACAGGTGCCGATAAAGTTCATGGCCTAGGAGTTACTGGCAAAGGCGTCAAGATTGGAGTCTTGGATACTGGAGTTGATTATCGTCATCCAGCTCTCGGAGGCGGCTTTGGAGCTGGCTTCAAGGTTTCAGGAGGCTACGATCTGGTCGGGGATGATTTTGTGGGATACAACGATCCGGTGCCCGATGATGATCCGTTGACAACTTGTCTTGATGGAGGTCATGGAACTCATGTTGCTGGTAAGCTCAAATCTCTTCACAACACCGGACTTGGTGTCTAATACTGCACAGGAATCATCGCTGCTAGGGATCCTGACGGACTTGGCTTTGGAATTGTCGGAGTCGCTCCTGACGCATCGTTGTATGCTTACCGAGTCTTGGGCTGCACCGGAGGCACGACCGATGACATCCTGATGCAAGGATTCGAAAAGGCAGCAAGCGATGGTGTCGATCTCATCAGCATGTCTATTGGAGAGACCGCTGTCTGGGAGACTGGGTCACCTTACGTTCCTCTTCTTGCAAAGATTCAAGCTCAAGGTATCGGCATGACCGTGGCTGCTGGCAACGAGGGAGATCAGGGTATCTATCTATCTTCTGCTCCCGCCCAGGACGCCAGCGTTATCTCGGTCGGCTCTGTCAGCGACGTGGTCTTCACGACGATGTACAACGCTGTTGGCTCAGATGACTCAACGATCGAGTACGCTCGAGTGGTTCCTATCAATGCGTCCGCTCGTTACAATGTTTTCTACGCCGACGACGATCAACAGAACTGTGTGGACCAGGCATGGACTGACGCGATCGCTGCATTTCCAGAGAAGGACAACGTCATCGTACTGATTAGCTCAGGCAGCAGCTGTACTCTCGACCTTGACGTGCGCACCAATTCTTCCGGCTTCAAAAATGTCTGGGAGTGGTTGCCTGACACCAGCGACGTTGAAATCGACTCTCCGGGGGCTAACGGGGACGTGGACATTGTGAGAATCAAGAAGTCTGAGTCAGACAAGATCCTGGCAGGTATTGCAGAACAAGGAAGAAACTACACTTTGACTTTCAAAGATCAGAGCGTTCATCAAATCCCGCAACCAACCGGAAACACGACTTCATGGTTTTCAACTTTTGGTCCCACTATGGAGATGTCATTGAAACCACAGGTTTCGGCACCGGGGGGCACCATTCTCAGCACCTGGGTCACTTCCAACGGTTGGGGCTATGCGATCATCTCTGGGACTTCTATGGCCACCCCTCAGTATGTTACTCTTCATCATGGTCTGGATATATGCTAACTGTTTCTCAGTCTTGCTGGATGCTACGCTCTTCTGAAGCAGAAGTTCCCTAGCCTCTCTCCGAAAGAGATTGCGAGACGCCTGCAATCATCCGCAACTCCTCTGAACCAGTACGAAGGAGGCGGAATCTTGACAACGGCGGCCCAACAAGGATCGGGTCTGGTCAATATTTTGAAGGCAGTCTCAACCGAGACAGTGTTTTCGACCACGGAGTTCAACCTTGGAGATACTGCCAAACCCGCCAAGCAGAACTTCACGATTGAGAATCAGTCTGCCCAGCCCAAGACGTACTCGATTGGCCATAAGGGTGCCGCCGAAGTTGATGCACTCCCCAAGGCCAAGACTCTTGACGTCAACGATATGTTCTACTGGTCTCTCAACTTCAACTCGATCTATGCCAACGTTTCCTTCAGCGAGAAATCTTTGACAATTCCATCTGGCGACAAAGCTACGGTCGAGTTCGAAATTCAACCTCCTGAAATTGACCCTAGCCTGCTGCCTGTGTACAGCGGCTTCATCACAATCACTGATGATGACGAAGAGTTCGTCCTTCCTTATCTCGGTATCCCGTATGCCCGAAGCACTCAGCCAAATATCTACACGGGCGATGTCCCGAACCTATCGCCGGAGCTGCAGCCCCCAGCGGAAATCCCTACACTTCCCTTTATCAGTGCAGGGGATACTGGCGTTCGTAACAACGATAGGATGGTCTTCAACTTTCCGGCCAAGGACGTCCCAGAAAACGAGACACGTCCGGCTGATAACAACCCTATTATTACTCTCTTTATCGACCAGCCCTCCGCATACGTTCGATTGGATGCTGTTCCTGTTGATCTTGCTTTGAATCCCGCCTACAACTTCACACCTTCATCTCTTGGTTATATTCCCGGAGGACCCTCGAACTCGACTTCCTTCAATAACACCACCACCCTGCAACCGCCTTTGGATCTCAACTCGCTCGACAACTTCGCTGGGGTTAAGAGCTACGGCCTGATTGGCTCTATGTATGGCGGTGACAAGCCTAAGTATACTACGTCAATCCTGTTCCGTGGCTACAGCGTTTATGGTACCGAATGGACTTGGGCCGAGGTCGAGTTGGCTAATGGGACTTTATACCAACTCCCTAATGCAGACTATCGTGTTCTTGTTCGAGCATTGAGATGGGGTGGAGATATCACCGACTCGAGTGATTATGACAGCTGGCTCAGCCCGGTCGTCAGGGTTAACATTACAGACCCTGGGTATCCCAACCCATGGAACTCAGTCTGAGGTGTCCACTCCCTCACGTCGATACATCCGGAAGCTCAATATGTTCATGTAATAGTAATTTTGTCCGTCATCAGTTGGTTTCAGCAGCATGCGAGTTTTTCCGATTGTTGAATATAAACGGAGTCAAATGTCCATTCGAAGTCTTCCGAAGAGAAGACTTCTTTGGTCCTATGATCATAGCCCCGTAATTCCGCACTTCCGCAAACCCGCGGTCTAATTCCGTCTGTGACGATCACTCCCCAACATCAGTACGATTCCGAACGTTCGGAATTTCCGCCAATTGAACACGAGCTTGTCTGGTTGGTCGAGTATCGGCTGAGGGAAACCCTGCAAACGCCGTTCCAAGGACAACTCTAAAAGGACGCTTTTGATCCCGACCGTATTTCTTTGATGCTCCAAGTGCCAGCCGCCAACCAAGCCACTTTGTTACCAGCATGATGCTGTCCTTTATGAGAGCCCCTCACCCGCCACGTACAAACAGTGCGACCAACAATCCGATATTCTATGAGAATGGACGGTCGTCTGTTTCATTCTCCGCACCTGGATCGGAGTACATCATGACGCATCGTTTACCGCCGACAACCCAGGAGAATGGAGTATCCATAATACAGCCGCCGTTTCACTATCATATATACCAAGATGAATTCTTCCGGCTTCAATCTGGGAAAGGGAACTTTTTTCGAGGAGTGGACCCTAAGCCATTCGTCACCTTGTCGGATGAGCCCGATGGCCAAACAACAGCTTCCGTCAAAGCCGGTACCTATCACCGGTTCGAGAACGCAAGCAAGTCTGAGGATCTTGTTGTGGACATTCACTTGACACCGGAATCCTATGAAAATGAGCAAAGGTTCTTCCGCAACTTCTTCGGATATTTAGACGATTGCAAAAGTGCCGGAATGCAACCCAGCGTCTTTCAGCTGTTTGTGTTACTCAATAGTGCGGACACACCACTTGCCGTGCCGATTTCTTGGCAACCCTTCGGAAGAATTGCGAGTAGAATACTTCTGACTGCTGTGGCGTTTTGGGGACGTTGGATTCTGGGGTACAAGCAGACTTACGCGGAATATTACCGATCGGAAAAGCGCGAGTGACAGATCAACGAGACGGAGTATAACACACGGGCTCCCGGTACATCCCGTACCTTCACGCGGAGAAAAGATTAAGTGTCAACACCTGTGTGTTGAATCGGAGAGGAATCAGAGTTTCAAGAAGAGAACAGGACAGTTTTGGGTGACAGTCTAAAATTGAGAGATCAATCACAGTCGTAGTTGGCATTTTTCTCAGATAGTAGTTTGGCCTTCTGTCAATGTTTTCCCTCCGGTGCGCAGGTTGAACGCATTCCCTGCTGGGCAACCATTCGCATGAAATTCAATTCCTCTTCCATGGCTTTTGTGCCTGCACCCATGGGACTAGCTCTCGGATAAAGAACTTCCAGCTGAACCTCTTTCTGATGAACCTGAGGATGATCTCTACTACCAGTCATCATAATCTCGAGGATATTTCCGTTGCCATACTGCTCTTTGGTAAGAAGCTTCATCATAGCATCAGCTAGATTCTCAGTTGATAAAGCAAGATCATTGACAGGGAGACGATCTCTGCAAAATTCCTAGTCGAACAAGGGAGTCTAGACCAATTAAATCAGGAAGTTAGCAATTGCGCAAAGTTGGTTGTTTATCCTTCGGATATAACAACATCATAATAAGCGACATACTCTTGTTGGCCCTGGGCAGATCACCGAGTTCCTAATACCAACAAGCTCCTTCAAACCTTGCAATTATTTGACCACACTCAGGATGGCAGCCTTGCTCGCAAAGTAGAATGGTGTCTGGATTAAGTGGACGTAACCTCCCATGCTAGAAACCCAGAGCAGGTTGCCTTCGGTGTCCCTGTTTTGCAGCCAATAGTCCACCGCCATCTGTGCTAGGCGGATGGGACCTATGGTATTGACATTGAAAATGTGGTATGATCCCACTGCAGCGTCGACAGGGTCTCTGGACTGTGGAGAAATCCCCGGCGGGTTCCAAAAGGATGACCAAGGAGGCTCAAAAATGCCTGCATTGTTGATGACTATATTGACACGACCGAAGGTGTCCACTGATGTTGTCCAGAGCGAAGTTAAATCAGACCAGTTGGTTATGTCTGTCTTGTGAAAGACAGCTGAGGGGTGAACGGCGTCAGCTGGTGGATGGGGAAACTTGGAAATGGTATCCGTAGCTTCTGCACGTAGATTCAAGTCTGCAAAAATCACTGAGCAGCCGTGCGCAAGAAGTCTTTGGGCAATGGCGAGGCCGATTCCTATCAGGAAACAGGGAGTTTGTGTCAGTATACTTGAATGCTTGAAGGCTTGGGAACACATGTCTGAACCAACGCCTCAATGAAGAGAGGATCCATACTGACCTGATCCTGCGCCGGTGACCAATGCAACTTTGCCTCCGACATTGTATCTGATACCCATATCGAAGAGGGACAAGGTCGGACGTATAGAAGCACGCGTTGATATTGGTCCTTTTTGCTGAAGGGATAGAAAGGAAAAGAATCTGCCGCCTTGGTCAAGTCCAAGCAGTCTTATAAGATTTCTGTGCAGTAATCGCTGCAGAGAGCAAGGATTCTCAGTCGGAGACGTCCGCAAGAAGGCAGTTACACCGGCATGGCGCATTCAAATGCCACGACAACATGCAGACCTCCAACAGAATCTTAGGCTATCAAGCGAATTAGGAGCAAGACCCAAGAAACACCCCTGAAGTTAGCACTCTAGTAAGTGGATCCAACATGCAACCGAACGTCGGCCTATCCAGACGGAAGAAAAACGATCATTATCATAATGGCTGTGCCCTCAGAATTGGAAAGAATGAGAAAGATGTGACTGCGCTTGTGACGGGCCCGCATTAATTCTGCAAACTTATTTTATTTGCGTTGTAATTGGTTGAAAACATACAAAATTGACTTGGACTCCGAGGTTGGACCACATTGCCAGCTGGGGATTTGCTCATCACAATCTTGAGATTCCCTACCGGATTATGGACCTAATCATACATAATAAAATCCAAATTCAAGCTAGAAGACTCATAGAACATGAGCGGCAGTCAGAAAGATAGAGAATATTGAAATCACGACGGTAACTGCCGTATCTACAGTGGTCAAGTAATATTGCAAGTAACAAGCTTTATGTAACAAGTCAAATGTTGCCCGAGTACACAACCGAACTTGGGGTCCGCTGACCCAGCGATTAAAATTCAATCATCAACTGTAGATAGTTATGGTTTCTCTGAAAGGAAAAGTGCTGAATGGTGTTACGCTCGAGAGGTGAGAGGTGAGGCATATCAAGAGACGAAACACACGATAGAGTCTGTAACAGCGAAGGGCACGAACAGGTAGAAGAGAGAAGACGGTTATATTTAGTCCGCAGAGATCAATTGTCTAGTACACAAAGAATGCCCAGAGGTTTGGCAATAGACCAAGATTCTCCGGCAATAAAGGTCGCACAGCGGACTTGAGGTATCGCCAGCCCCAGCCAGTTTCCTATGCGACTTTCAATCCGGCAAAGATGTTCCCAAACATAGCCCCCCAGAGATCAAGCATATAGAATTTTCTTGCAGCCCACAGCCCATCTCCAGCTTTGGGAAACACCTTGGTTGCATGTCTGACATATGTTGAGGTGAGACTCATGACAGGCTTGGGCTTCATGTTGTTGGCATCCACAGTATACGGTGTAACGGAGTGGATGCCATTCGATCTCATGCTCCGCCAAAGACGAACCAGGTATGAACTTGTAGCTTCGGCACCCAAAGTCCAAGATGCATTGGCATATCCGAACACATATGCCAAGTTGGGCACATCTTGGAGCATGCAGCCCTTGAACCCGAACTTCTGGTTCGGATCCACGGGGTTTCCGTTGACAGAAAGGGAGATCGCGCCAGCGAACCGTATTTTGAGCCCAGTTGCGGTGATAATGATGTCTGGCTTGAGAATTCTTCCAGACTTCAACACAATTTCGTTGTTGGTCACCACGTCAATGACGTCGGTTACGACATCTGCCTTCCCAGAGCGTAACGCCGCGAAGAAATCAGCGTCTGGGCACACACAAAGACGTTGCTGCCAGGGGTTGTACTTGGGACTGAAGTTCGGATCCAGAGGAATTGAAGGGGGCAGCTCCTTCGCAGTGCGTCCCAGCAAAGCTCTCCGTGCTGACTGTGGGAACAGCTGACAATAGTAATAAAGCAGGTAACCGAGCAAGATGAATTGAACTCTCAGAATTCGGCTCGAGATACTCCTCGGAAGTACAGACAGCATTAGCCTGCTGGGAAGGCTCTTCTGGGTTGGCAACCCCGTAATGTAGGTTGGGCTTCTCTGAAGCATTGTCGTTCGACTGGCCTCCGTGGCCATGTTTGGTAGCAATGTCACCGCAGTCGCTCCACTTCCAATAATGACCACGTGCTTGTTCCGGTAATCAAGATCTTCGGGCCAAAACTGTGGATGAACGACTGGGCCTGTGAAGTTTTTGATGCCAGGGATCTCCGCAGCCAGCGGTTGCTCATAATCATAGTAACCGGTACCTAGGACGACGAAACGGGCCTTGAAACAGTTGATCTTTTCACCGTGCCCAGTTGTTTGTAATGTCCATAGCGACTCTGATGACTGCCAGTTTGCCGAGATGACTTGGTGGTGAAACTTGATATTTTTGTCGATACCATACTTCGACACCGACTCATGCAGGTAAGACATGATGGATGGGCCGCTGGCTAGAGGGTTGTCGCCTTTCCATGGGTTCCATGAGAACCCGAAGGTATAGATATCGGAGTCTGATCGTATTCCAGGGTAACGAAAGAGATCCCAGGTTCCTCCAATTTCGCCACGCCCTTCGAGAATGGCGTATGAAGCCCCTGGAGGCCCGTGGGCCTGGAGGTAGTATGCTGTGTTGATACCAGATATGCCGGCACCGATGATGATGACGTCAAAGATATCGCCCGCAGTGGCGAGCTCTGCTTGACTAAGAGCGGCATCCATGACTATTCTTTTTGGGAAAATGTACCGGACGGATAAGGTCTGAGTAGAGAGTAACTAGATGGACTTTTTGATCACCAACTTGGGTTTATATACTCGATTAACGTTGCTGGAAGCACTCGATGATGGGAAACGTCGGAGCAGACTTGGACACGTGCAACGGCCCTTGTACATTGGAATTTCATCCTGCAGCCTCGGGTTTCAGCACCCCAGCAAGCTGGAGATGGGACGACTTCCTGAACGGGACAATAGTCTCCGGTAAACCGCCTGCGTCGGAAGCGGGGCTACTGGCAATGTCGCAAACTCCGTGCCATTTCTTCGGGCTTTGAAGTCCGCCAAGCTCCACTGGCCTTTCATTGCCAGTGAGTCTTGGAAGAAAACCATCGGCTTGATTCAGCATCGTGTTGACTGTTGCCCCGTCCCACAACACCGGCGTGAGACAGTAAACTTGGTTTACGTCAATGATGCGCAATTACCCTGCATAACCAGGAAACTGCCGGAGTGTACAGAAGTGACGGAAATTTCCCATACGTTGGTGTTTGAAAAATATCTGCCGCATAGTGGAAACCCGTCACGATGTAACTCCGTCCGCGCATGCAACATGCACAACTGGGCAGCAGACTTCTTGCTTCGTTCTCTTTTTAATCAATGTTCCACCTTTCGTTCCAGCTGAGGCCGCACACGTACACGTCAAGGGAATGAGAAGTGTTCCGTTGCTCCGTGCATATGGGAATCTCCGGCAACCGCGGACGCCGTTAGGATACATCATTCACGGCACCACGGCGAGGTCCAGCCTCAACCTGTCTTGGCGATAGCCTGGTATGTTCAAAGAATCCCGCCCTCCAGTGGGTAATAGTTCTCGCCTTCATGCTTTGCAGCAATTGCTGAAAAACAAGGGTCTAAAATTATTTCAGCCGGAAGCTGTCAAAGCGCCTCACATTGGACTGCCCAAGATGACGATGGACGGCCGAGGTGCCTCGGCCTCTTCTCCGGGCGGGGCTTTAGAGAAGCAACTTAACGCATTATTCATTTTGCCGCGACTCGCATTAGTCGCATTCGCATTTGTTTTACCCCGTCCGTGTTTTGCCGCTCAGATGACAACCCCGCTCCAGCTTTTTATCTTTTCTCCATCCCAACAGCCGAAATGACCAGAATCCATCCGTAAGCGCAGACTACAAGCCTGATATGCCCCGAAAAGCCTGCGACGTCTGCTACAATAAGAAAGAAAAGTGCGTCTTCGATGGAGATTCCACCTTCTGCAACTTTTGCGTTGCACACAAGCAGCCATGTCGACTCACTAGGCCAGAGCGACGCATGGGGCGTCCACCGGTGGTTAAGAATTTACCCCATGGGCACAGCGGGATCATACTAGGTCTTGACGTACCCACGAGTCACAAACCGAGCTACTCCAGATCTCAGAATAACATACAAAGCATTCAATTCCAAAGTCCCCGCGACCTTGGACTGGAGCAGGGAAATCTGAACCCTCTTGTGTTGTTGCACAGCTCGGCGAATAAGCATCATCTTCTCAACGCCCTCACAGACCGACAGATATTCTACACCTTTCATCGAAACTTCATGATCGGTCCCAGTTTTGCCGAGTCATTTAGGCTATCCATTCAGACGATACTCCCCTGTTCGAACATCAGCCTACTGAAGGCGTACGATGCCGTATTTGCGGTGTGGGATGATGTTGGTCAAAGAGTTAAACCACCCGAGGAGATAGATCTATCCGAGGGCAGAGACTGTTTGAAGAATTTGGTTCAGTTCGGCAGCACGTCGGACCTATTGGACAACGCCTCGATCTTGATGCTGGGCCAAATACTGATTGTCTATCATCTCTTCACCACTTGCACGTCAGCCTGGGCAATCAATCGACATGCGATCCTGTCGGCCAAAAAGTCTTACAGCGACCTCCTTGCCCAGCCTATATTCGATCCGATCTCAATCACGCCGATTCTGTTCGACACAGCTGAGTCGTTGATACGGCGGGAAATACCTGTCATTCAAGTGCCAAAAACCGATCGCTTTATTGTCGACAGGTCGGTGGGTCTATGCTGGTCCCTTCTCCCCCTGTTGCACGAACTATGCGAAGTTAGCGAGAGGATGAAGACATGGTCTAGCCAGGACCTCCTTAAACAGAGTCAAGAACGGCTTTTAGAAGTGGACGACGCTTTTACGGCCGTAGAGCGAGCGATACGGGCATGGGAGCCGTCCGCACCGCCCACACTTTTCGAAGACTTTACTTCAATTGAGGTCGCTGCGATGCTTACACAAGCTCGCGTTTACCGAACCGCAGCTTTACTTCTTATACATCGGCTTAGATATCCACTGGGGGTTGAGGACGCTGTTGCGCGCTGGCATGCCAACATGATCTGCGCAGAGTTGACCGGATTCGTCAACTTAACACCTGAAGATATGAGGGGACTTCCTGTTGGACTTCCTCTTCTGGTGACGATGCTTGAAACGAGGGAAAGCGCCAGTAGGATAATACGTGGCTTAGGCTTATTCGCTTCACATCCCCAACATCTGGCAGCCCTTGATAATTTCGTTGGTCTTGCTTGGGCAGCGCGGAGAGGTGGCTTCCAGGGCCTCTGGTTTGATCTAGTCCACGTTAGCTTGCAGGTGCCTGTTGTTCCTTGAGTTTGTAATTCCAGTACGAATGCTGTGCACAGTAGTCACATCTTGTATCAGAGAGGGTTGGTGCAATCGTTCAATCGCTGGACCCTGGAAGAGATCCCTTCAGTAGGACTGATGTACGATCTGACCAGACCAGTTTTCGGTTAATGCTCCTCCTATCGTTCGCCGTGCATTAACAAGCTCCTGAAGTACGCGTGCTGGATGGCTGAGAGGCGATAGAGTTTCACGAAAACATAAAAGCTTCCCGGATGGAACCCGCCTGATACCCCGGTTGCGCTGAAGGGGGTTGGCTTAAACATGTCCCTAGCCACGCACCCTGGCCCTGTGAATTTTGCGGGGGAGTGGATGCGCCGGAGACATTCTTCCTACTTAGGTCTAGCGTTGTCGATCTCCCCCGTGCCGCCCGGACATCTTGCTGATTACACCTCATGACCATGTGGCTCTAATTCTAGAAAGGTGGCCAGAATTCAACGGAGAAAGATGAGGAATAGAGTAGTTAAAAAGGAACCGGAAACCACAAAAGAGAAAGATGAGGAAGGTACTGCTCTGTTCATGGGCATCGTGTACAACTCTGTACAGCGGCCATTCCGCGAGCCTGAGTCCGCTGGTTGGTAATCTAATATCAAGTCTAAATTGATTGATTGGAGAAACGAGCAAGTGTGTCGTACAGGGAGTCTACCAGGCTGTCACGTCTCAGAATACGAAAAGAGCAACAAGTTTCCGGGAGCTGTGGCACGGCCGCCCAGTTTTATCGGACGCCATCTGACTTGAACAGATGAATTGTTGCGGGTAAGAGCCATGGCAACAGAGAGGTATAAGACCATGAGAGTCCGTCTGCTGAGAAATGGTTGCGACTGCAAGGATCTTCTACTTATCGAACTTCTCATCACAATGACGGACATCATCAGCTCCACCCTCAAGACGATCAACGGCATTGCGGCTGTTGCTGTTCATCCTCTTGTTCCTGCGTCCCTTCTCACCTTCGTTGCTTATTCACCGCCCGATATGTTGCGGCGATCCCCAAGTCTTAATAGACTTCACCAATTGCTGACCGCAAATTTTGTGGTCTGCTACCGACTCCCACTACAAATCCTTCTGGTTGCAGGAATTGCTAGATACCTAAACAGAGCAGCGAACCGATGGGCCCTGAACAACTGGCGCCTTACCAGTCATCCTGGTTGGAGATGGGCAAATGAGATTGCGGTCGTGACTGGTGGCTGTAACGGAATTGGAAAGGCCATTGTGATAGGTCTCGCTCAGAAGGGAGTTACTGTTGCGGTACTTGATACTCAACCAATGCCCGCAGATCTGCGTGCCAATCAAAAAGTCAAGTACTGGAAGTGCGATATTACCTCGCCAGAAGCCGTATCAGCGAGCGCAACGGAGATCCGGGCCTCTTTGGGCAATCCGTCTATCGTAGTCAACAATGCCGGTGTCGCCTACACTCACTCTGTCATCGAAACCGATCCGGAAGACTTACGGAGAATATTTGGCGTCAACCTCCTTTCTCTGTGGTCTACAGCCAAGGAGTTTATCCCCGACATGATTATGAAAAACAAGGGCCACATTGTCACCGTGGCAAGCATGGCATCCTACTCAGCTTTGCCCACCGCAGTAGACTACTCCGCAACCAAGGCTGGCGCTTTGGCATTCAGCGAGGGTCTTTCCTGTGAGATCAAGCATGTATACAAAGCATCTGGAATATTGACCACCGTGGTACATCCAATGTGGGTCAGAACAAATATGACTGCGGCCCACGCTGAGAGGGTGGAACAGTCCTATGGGCGTATGATGGAACCAGAAGATGTGGCAAAAAGGGTGACTGGTCAAATCTTTAGTTGTCGAGGTGGACAGCTCATAATTCCAGACCAGTGGTCTTGGGCATCCGGAAACAGGGGTCTGCCGAGTTGGGTCCAAGAAATCATGCGGGATGCGGTGGGAAGAGAGGTTCCAAGACTAGGAGAAGCAAAGTGAATAGCAATGATAGTTTTGCCATGAGATAACCCTGTGAATTTACTCTTTCCTAGGGTCCAAGGCCATCGACAGATGAATAGAACGAGAGGAAGCTCAAGATCGAGTAGTATTTCATACATACACTGGTCCGTTCGTAAGACATTTCGAAAAAGCCCTTGCTGAGAGTTACAGAAGCAAGCTTTCCAACACATCCATACATTGCAATACGAAACAGAAGTCCAGAAGGATCAACTTCACCCGAACGATTCCAAGTGGAAGTTGTTATTGACAAACTTTAGGCCGCGGACCAACAGCAACCATTCTGAACTACAGCAATCAGACCGGGTTCGTTCGCAGTCCTCACACTTGTTAGTCGCTCTCCTAGAAAACTTGGAAAGTGTTTTCATCCCATCCGTAGGCTCTCGTCAATCGGCGAGATAGAATCAAACTCCGGTATCCTTCGATCTGGAAGTGGTGCGGTGCGTGAATCGTCACGGGACGAAGCTGTGGTAAATCTTCCGAGGGGACGAAGGCAACAGATGAACCACCTTTGTTGCGCATGATCGAGAAGCCGAGATCGGCCATAGCCGTCTCAAATGATTTCCAGCTAGTGGATGAGCGAGCTTTCGACTTGCTGAAAAGCGTCCAGAAGAATTCTGCAGTGGAAGATTTGACCTTGAAAGTCATGGGCCCCAGCGCGTCTGCTTCCACGGTGACATTTCTCGCAACATGCTTGTCATCTCCTTTGCGTGCATCAGGACTTTTGGGACTGGTTGGGCAGTCGCTTTTCTTCTTCCGGTTCGGTCGCTTGGAGGACTTGTTTGCAGCCGGACAAACTTGCTCGCTGTTGAATAGCTGGTGTTGCATCCGAGGTCTTTCATCGGTCTCTGCTAAGCTTGCCGAGTTGCAGGACATTCGGTCGATTCCGTACGACCTTTCGGACTTTGTATCACGACGTCGCGTGCTCTCTTCAGCAGAGAGGGGAGAATTGAGTGGCACCGAGGCATTGTTTTGCCGAAATGACACTCTCAACTGCTCGCAATGCGCATCAAGATCGGAGATGGAGTCCCTGAGAACGTCTTCATACAGGCCCCTAATAGTTGTACCCATGCGGTCAGTGACAAGTTCATCAAGCTTGTTGAGGCAGCCTTTGACCATGCTAGTTCTCAAGAGGACGGCGATTGGGCCGCAGTAGTCGCGCAAGTCAATGAACTTGTCCCTTTTCAAACTGTTGAGAAAGTCGATCTCCAGAGTGTGACATTTTGACACAAAGAAACAACCTTCCGTGCCGGACGGTGGCGGTAGACCTAATAATTCCGAGAGCTTTTTCACGTAATCACTGACAGAGACGAATTCGTGAAACGCCTTGTTGTCATGATCGCGGGGATTGTACAAGAAAGTTGAAGTCTGTGGCTCTTGCTTCCACAACGCAGCGAGGTAGCCCAACATGTAAATAACATCTGCTGGGTTATCGGATGAATGAGCAAGGTGAAACAGTAGTTATCGCTGAGAATCGCTGTCGATGATTTCCGTGGGGTCATTCTTGAAGACAATGACAGGGTTTCCGAGCTGATCGAAACCGTTTGACTTGCGTTGAAAATGACCAATTCCGAAGCCTTGATAGATGAAGCGCTTCAAGACTGCTTGCAAACGTGCCCATTCCAGCATGCAGGAGTTAGAAAGTTCTTGAAGAAGCACAGGCCGACATATGCTCTCGGTACCAACACGTTGCAGCTCCCTCAAGAGATGACCAATGTATGCCCAGATGGTGGCGCCCTTGACGAGATTCTGAACGACATTGAAGACGCAGGCGCTCGAGTACTTGTCAGTACAGTGGGGTAATAGGTTTTGGTGTTCATCCAGAATTCCCTCTGGCTGGCTGCAGAACCATCGTTCGACGTCGTGCTTCAGTGTACCCGGCTCTACCAACAACACTTCCCAAAGTTTATCGATGTCTTCCTTCTGGTGTCGAGCACCCCTGGAAAAGTCCGCAAATTCGGAAGACCCTCCTGTGTGGTTCAGGCGGGCGTTCACGCGGACGCAAGGCAGTGTGGGCTTTTCTGCATGCTCGGCTTCAGGCCCAAGGCTGAGGATTTCGGCAGTGATGCTCTTGAGGTCACCTATGAAACATTGCTGTCTTGCCAGAATGAGGTCTCCGAGAAGTGTGGGTACGCAGATGCTTGTTGCTAAGTCGGACGCCCAAAGGGCAAGAGGAAGTTCGTGTTCGGCAACTTCCCGTGAGGTTCCATAATCCTTGCTATCCGGAAAAAACATGAATACGCCCGGCAGCGGTGATCGTGGGCTTACCCCGCGATTTATCATGTAATGAACGTACAATGCGATCGCCAGATTGTCCACCACAACCCACAAAGACTTGTTGGTGCAAGGAAGTGGTGGCACGATGGGTGAGATGGTTGATGAGGTGTTCAGTGTCCGTTACCAGGTCGTTGAGATTCCACTCAGGCACGAGCTGATGGATCGATCCAAGAGATACATCTGATGCTCGATTTGGGGTACTTCGGCCGCGTCCAATAGCGAGGAGACACTTCACTCGTTGATTTCTACTCAGAAATCGCCAATTAGCTTTGATAGTGTCGGAATGTCGGCGCCATCGGTGAGCGAGGTCGGACTGGGTATCTCGTAGATGCTGAGCAAAAAAGCGTCTAGAGTACGCAGAAGAACTCGCCCCGTTACTGAAAGCATACCTGTCTTGCGACATGGCTGAGAAGGTGATGTTAGATCGTCAAACTTGTGATGGGGAATATGTTGAGGAGCAAGTTGTTTGGTGACGTCTTGCAAACGGAAGGAGGGGCAGATGGAAAAGGATATCTGCGAGAAGATTCTGGACAGCAAAGAGTTTTTTCCGGTTGGTTCTGGCAAACAAACAAAGCTGCACGTGATACACGTAGGTGAAGGTGAATAGGACGGGTAGCTGCATAGTGAATTTGGCAGGAGCATGAGTTGATGCTAACCCACTTTCACTCCTTCCCTCAGCAATCCATTGTTTGGGTTAGCTGAACAACTGAAGAGCTGCTACCTGTCCTGTGATTAGCCATAGTTATGACTCGTCTCCATAGGTACCTTGGACGGAAGAAAGACCACCGGATTGTAAAAGCAAGTCATGAATCCTCTGACTGGCAAAACCATCCTAGGAATACCTATCTCTTGGATTCTGGCACTTTTCTTACGTGATTGTAACATTTGAACCTGGAGACGACCGCCGACATAACCCTGAACGACTATTTGGTTTGAAGATCTTCACCTCAACGTTTAAATCTGCGATGTCAAGATTACCAATATTAAGATATTCAGCGATTTATTCCTGTTCACGCGCCTCTGAAAAGTTTTGTTGCTTAACTCTCCCAGGCCTCTATTCCCCCCCTAGCCTTGACTCCTCCAGGTCCGATGCAATGAAACTAGCAAGTAACTATTCTGCCGCTCATACCCGCCAAAAGCCTAATGCTGACCTTGTAGGCCATGGAATGACATTGACCATTGGTTGGGGCCACGATCTCTGCACCCCCGCAGCCCGCATGACGGGCGAGCAACTGATTGGAAAGCCCCTCGACGAGTTGACAGCTAGCATGGACCAGACGTGGCGAAAGTGATGAAGAGGTTCGTTGGGTTCAGGCCTCTGTAAGTCGTACTTTATGGAACAGTGAATTGAGTATACTGATTGATCATGCACTCCTTTAATGCAGGTTCATGGGGGGTCTACATCGCCAGCATCATAGATTCTTCGCCGAACACGAAGCCGTCCAGTTGCGCCGTTGCTCGGAGTTGTTTTACGGAATCGTGGAATCCCTTGGCCAGTGGATGGCGGATTCGGGCGTAAAGAAGACGAGCGGTGTCGGCCCCGGAGACCGGGCGCCACTCAGTATTACACGGCGTCCGCATCGCCTGGCAGCATTCTAGGTATCAATTTGCCCTGGAACGGCGCTCGTCCTTAATGCGGGGTAAATATGGAGAACCCGCCACTCGGTGAAATCTCACTGTCGGTGCTCACAACCGGGACACCCGACCCCATGCTTAGTACAGGGTTACTTCCCTCATCTAAGCATAAGAAAGAGCATTTCAGTTTTCCCCTTCTCCCACTTTAAAAGCACTTGCTCTATTGCCGACGATAACAAAGACATTTTTACGCCGACTCTCCCCAAAAAAATCTCTTCTCTAGCCTTTGACAGGCTTGCTGCAGCCGGAATCTGATCTTGCGATGGTGCCCTCCGACGAGAACAATCATTTTTCTGCACTGCGTCTTCGGCGAAATAGAAGAGTCCCTTACGTCAATCAAGCATGGTAAAGCCCACTTTGCCCTCGTCCACAAATTGAGATTTCTCTAAGTTGTTCGCAAGTATCGAATGCAAGCGAAAGAAAATCAAGTGCGACGGTGTCAGCCCCTGTGCGTCGTGTACGCGGAAATCAGTTCCATGTTAATATCATCCGCAGCGTTGAGTCTTAGCCACTCTAAAACCCAGACTAAAGTTAGTTATTAGGCCCCTTAAAGTCTATCATCATGTTCTACATGAGGTTTATCAATCAAGACCCCCATTCGTTTACCTTTCTACCATAAGGCCAAGATGGCTGACGAGAATGAAGAACCGCGGATTCAGCCAGGACTTCTTATTCTTCCTCTCAACATGAAGGTTCACTGGATGTTTCAAAACCTGCCCCTCCACCGACTCGATCATCAGGCACGCCTGGCCAACGAATGAGTCCTATTCTGGGTTTTAGATCACATCGCATGACATGCGACGCAAGTAGCCATTCTCCGGAGTTTTGTGGCCCCTTAAGCTCCGAGTTCACCTTTGGAGTTGTGAAAGGCAATTTAGAGGCCATGGGAATCCCACCAGCTATTTTGGACAAGTCAACAGCGAAGTCTAACTCTGCCTCGAATATGCTGTCTTAGCTGGCACACTACGGATTATTTATGAAACTCCTGGCCCAAGACCCCCTGTGGGAAATAAGTCTTGAAGATGCGACTGACCAAATCAAGCAGTGGTTTTCGGGCACTGGCTTTCTTTACGCTGTTGTCAGTGAAGAGCAAATGCTCAGGGTTGCCAGTAACGTTTTTAACACTCTGCAGAGTGTTAAAATCCACGAAACGCGAAGTCAAGGAGCTCTTGTAGAGTGCCTGTTAGATAGCGATACCAACAAACTGAAACTTATCCTGGCTATTTGTCTAAACTTGGAAAGCGGAAGTTGCAACGACTTAGCTCAGAGACTCTTTCAAAGCGCCACTGAAGCTGGCGAGGGGCTCCTCTAGGGCGCAAATTCGATCAGCAATATATAGTTGCTGGTGCTTATGGTACGTGGTGTTATAACTGAGAGTCAGGAGGAGAGTTTGCTGGTATGATGTTATTGACCAGCGTATTTAAGGCCTTTTACTACTATCACTTCGATGAAGAAGTGCGGACTGGTCGTATTATTGGTTTTGCCCCTGCCTCTGCCTCGAAATGGGCTTGCACTGCTGGGCATCAGTGAACCGCTTGACTAATTCGGAAGAGCAAGCTTTAGGCCTGCAGACGTTTTTGTGTTTGTACATCCTTGAAAGAAAGACGAGCCTGGGGCAGGGCATACCATTCTACATACAGGACAGTTATGTTGACCCTAACATACTGGCAACGACGGCTTCAAGTAGAAGCCGTTGAAACCCTCACCAAAGATTAAGTGGGTCGGTGCAGACATGGGGTAGAAGCTGGTTTTTTTTTTTTTTTTTTTTTTTATTTTTTTTTTTTTTTTAACGCCGTGGCGGCAAGGGCGCAGCCGCCCTTGCGGCCGACCTCCCGAAGGGTATGTGGCGTGGAGGGCCGTAGGTTCTCGCTATATACTATACAGTACACGCTGTCCCTCCCGTCCTCCAGATCTTACTCGTGAGTCACTTCCGTGTTCTATCCATCCCTAGTTCCCACTGGTGCCCTAGTTCCGTTATAGTAGTCTGGTCTCCCCTATGAGGTAGACTTTTTTTTTTTTTTTTTTTTTTTTGGAGTATAGGTTATGGCCTATCTCTCAGTACTGCGGGCAGATCTTCTGGAAGAAGTTTGTCACGCTAAGGAAGGCCTGGAAGCCTTCATGGTCAGTGATTAGCCCCTTGAAGTAGCGCTCAAGAGATCCTATAGGTCCTATAGGCTCCTGGCGACCATAAGGGTAGAGGGTAGGCCACTGTTGCCTCCCCACTAAGGTCTTTCGGCAGTAGACCAGATGGTCTACTTCCTTAGCCTCCCCGCAAGAGCAGGTAAGCAGTGCTTCTGTATGGTTGAAGCGTTGATGATACTGTTCGAAGTCCCCATGGCCTGATCGGGCTGCTAGGAGATGATGTAGGATTACCCGTGGTAAGGCTAGTTCAGGGGGGCAGGCCAGGGTAGCCTTAAGCCCTAGTTGTATATAGCGAGAGGCTGCCTCTTGCCTCCACCATTTCCCATACTGGTGTCGTTTACGCTCTTGAGCAAGCCGCTTGATCCCTGCTAGGGTAGCTAGTAGGCCTCTGGGGACTGGTAGCGTTGTACCCTCCTTAGCTAGGCTATCAGCCTCCTCATTCCCTTTTATCCCTTGGTGCCCTGGGGACCAGTGGGTTTGTATATTGTGTATCCTAGCTGCTTCCTGGATCTCTAGGAAGGCAGCTTGTGAGGATTCCAGGGCCTCACCTCGGATCCCCTGGATAACGCTAGTGTTATCAATACAGATGTGTATAGGCTGGCCTTGGGAAGTCAGGAGGGCCCTTTGGAGCCCTGCCCTCGCCCCCTCTGCCTCGCCGTCGAACACTTCCGTAATGCCGAGGCGGCTACACCCTTGAGCTATGCGTTTGTTACTGCGGTAGATAACAAAGCTGAAACCTGTAGCCCTGTTAGGGGCTTTAGAGCCGTCTGAGTAGATGATCGTATGGTTATCTGGCACAGTCTTAAGCCAGTCTTGAAACGCTTTAGCTGCTTTCTCCTTGCTTCGTCCAGCTGTAGGGTCTTGTAGTCCTGAAAGATGCTGCGGCTGTAGGAGTAACGGCCTTGGGCACCTAGGTAGGAGGGCTGATGTTCTTTGTAGTCTTGTTTGCTGCCGCCCTGGCTGTGAAAGCCTAGGGACTAAAGGGTGCTGTTAGTCAACCTTCTGTAGGCGTGTAGCAAAGCATAGGCGTGCCCCTTCGAGGGCTACTTTTGCTGTTGGCAGGCCAGCATCTCGAAGGAGGCTACTAGTGGGCGTAGTCTTCCAGACGGGTAGGATAGCCCTTGCTGCTGCTGTTATAACCTTCTCTACCCTCTTTACTAAGCCCTTCTGCCTTGTACTAACAGTAGCTGCCTGGTTATTAGCACTGCTGCTAGTAGCAGTAGTGCTGCTGTTTCTGGCTGGTCTCTTTAAACCTGCATACCAGGTCTCAGCTCCGTATAGGGCGGTTGGGAGGACACAGGCAATAACAGCTTGGCGGGCAGCAGCAGCTGGGAGCCCCCCTTTGGTGTTTGATAGATGGCGTAGGAACTAGGCTACGTTCTTTGCTGCTGCTACCTTTGTATCGACGTGGTGCCGGAAGGTGAGTTTCTTATCAAACCAGACCCCTAGCCATCGTATAGGCTTAGTTGAGGCCTTGATAGTTAGGTCCTTTGCCTGTATCTCTGGTAGGTCTTCCCTCTGCTTATGTTTCCTGCTGAAGTGGATTGCTTCACACTTAGCTGGGTCAAACGCAACCTTATTATCAATACCCCAGTTGAGGATCTGAGTTATCTCCTGGCTAAGGGCTGCAGAGTTTCCCTCTAGAGAAGGGCTAGTAGCCAGCAGGCCTATGTCATCTGCATAGCCGAACCGCAGCTTCTGGTTATCAGCTAGGATATCAGCTATATAGAGCAGAAAAAGGATAGGGGATAGCGGAGAGCCCTGAGGGAGCCCACAGGATAGGGGGAAGTCCTCTGTAGTAGTCTCCTCTAGCCTGACTCGGGCGGTCCGGCTAGAAGCAAAGGTAAATATCAGCCTAATCAGACTACTAGGCCAGCCTTGCTGTCGTAGCCTAAGAATAAGTCGATTTCATAGGACAGAGTCAAAAGCCCCCTTAACATCCATTGTTGCTAGAGTTGCAGTAAGCCCTAAGTCTAGAGCCCTTTCGATCTCATAGGTTAGACAGGTTGTTAGGTCGACTGCAGCCCTCCCTGGCAATGCCCCAACCTGCTGTGGGCTAGCAACCCCTTCCAGAATGGTGAGATATGCCATTCTCTTTGCTATCAGCCGCTCTAAGCCCTTGCCTAGGCAAGATAAGAGGGCTATTGGCCGCCAGGATCCAGCCTTTGAGAAGTCTGTTTTCCCCGGCTTCTGGATCATAACTACCTCTGCTTTTCGGAAAGTCCTAGGGAAGTAGCCTATGCGGACACAGGCTTAGAAAAGCTGCTGTACCGGTGTAGCTATTAGGCCCCAAATAGATTGTAGTAACTTAGTAGTGATCCCATCAATCCCAGGGGTTGTAGCCTTTGTGAGAGTAGCCTGGCGTATTTCCTCTATGCTGACTATATGCTGCCAGGGTATTAGACGCCTTGCAACTATAGGGACAGTGAACGGGTTCCCAGGTAGGTCGTCTGCAGCATCAAATCTCTCTAATAAGGCCTTCCGCAGGGCTTAGGCCTTATTGTAACCGTTGTTAATAGCCTGTTCATCCACTATTAGAGGTGGGGCCTTAATAGCTAGCCCAGACTTACGCCAGCTTAGTATCTGGTATAAGTTCTGGTTAGACCCAGCCTCCTCAATCTTAGCAGCCCAGTAGGCGCGTTTTGCCTTCCTGACTATAGTCAGAAAGGCCTTCTGCTCCTCTAGGATAGGCAGTGGTATTACTAGCCCAGGTTCTTGGGCTTGTCGTCGCCTAGCCTCAATAGCTGCTCGATAGGCCTCTGAACACTCTTCTGCCCACCAGGGGGCTCCCCTGCCCTGGTTAGTCCGTCTCTTCCCTACTGCTTCTATAGCTGTAGAGAGGAGGCTGACTAGTTGGGTAGCTAGAGAGTCTATTTCTGCTGGAGTAGGTGTATCCCCTAGGGTAGGTAGGGCTGGGATCCCCAGCTTAACTAGGTCAGCTAGCCGGAGTATAGCTGAGTCTGGGACTGTAGGGTGGCTAGTCTGACGCCTCTGTTCCTAGGCTTTGCTTATCGGTATAATAGTCGTAATAGCTTGATGATCAGCCCCTGGGTGTATATGTGGGCTAATATAGGCCTCAGCAAAGGGGATATTTGAGAAGGTTAGGTTGAGGGTGTGCCTATAAGTGTGGGTAGCAGCTCCAACCTCCCCAATAAACTCAAGATCGTGGCCTTCAGCCTATTCCGCGATGTCGTCTCCCCGGTTCCGGCTCCAGGAGCCAGGTTCCCAGTATGGGCAGTGCGCGTTAAAGTCCCCAGCTATAAGAGCTCCTGCTGGCGGTTGATAGCTTAGGAGGGTACTTGTTGTATGGTTTATAGGCTCGCCTGGTGGCCTATAGACGTTTGTGATGGTGAAGTTGCCAACCTTAACCTATAGGATATCCCTTGATTGGGTAGGTCTTTGTTGTTATATCTGCAGCCTTAGACCTTTACGTGTATAGGTCATAACCCTAGGCCTTATGTCCCTGCTGTTCCAGAAGTCTACTGGCATATAAGAGTTATAGCCTGGGTGTGTGTTAATTTGCATCTTATCTCTATAGCCTATCTAGG